CTGGAAAAGCTGATTGCCCTAACTTTTATGTGCAATTATTGTTGTTTTTGTTATTATTATTGTTATTATTGTTGTTGGCATTATGCGCTGCACTTTAATTACACACTTGCGGTCATTTAAAATTATTTGGCTCAAGTTGCTTGCCACAGCATCAACAGAAGCAGCAGCTGCCACAAATCGCACGCCCCACTATGAGGCAAGCCCCTACTCAACCAGCCCCCTCTTTTGTTATTGTATTTTCCGCTGGCTCGTTGCGCTTTGGCGCTTATCTGGCAAAATGAATAAAACCAAAGAAATGAAAATGAAAATGAGAATGAAAATGGCAAAGTTAACACTTGTTAAACTTTCGACAAGGGTCGTTGTTGCTGTTGCTGTTGCTCTTGTTGTTATTGTTGTTTTTGTTGTTGCTGTTTGCAAATTTTGTAAATTATACGAGCGGCGCAAACAAAGTTGCCCAAGAGTGCCTGGCGAATAATTAGCCCCGAATATAACCGTGGGGCATAAGTTCAAGTGCAACAATGTGCAACAAAGTTGCCCAGTTGCAGACAAATCAAAAACTAGTTCACAATGTTGCTACTACCACCCCCCTTCCATAACTCCCCTCTTTTCTCATGCCCTTAGGCAACCGTAATGTAATACGACTACAAGTCTCTCTTCTTTTCTCCAGCTCCGACAAACCTTGCCACTGCTCCAACGCAATTGACAGCAAATGCAAAGGCGCTTGGCATGCGCTGCATGTTGCCAGCGAGAGAGAGAGAGAGAGAGAGAGAGAGGGGCCAAGTTAAAGCTGTGGCAGGCAGCGAAGTAGACATCCCAAACGCATAAATTGTTTATAGTTTTTCACAAAACTGCAGAAGGTGGGCGCCACGCAGATTGCGCGGGGTGCAAGCGTGGCTGGGTGGGAGAGGGGTGGTGTAGCAACATTTAAAACGTGTCGCTGTTGACGTCTTTTGCGTTGGCGTTGAAGTTGCCGACACGTCGCTGCCGTTGACAAATGCCCCAACCACATGCGCTGTTAACTAAAAGTGTTGGCCCTGGCTTTATGACTTGGCCAGCCACCTATCTGGCAACTGCCAACTGGCAACTGGTATCTGGCATCTACCTACCTCAAAGCCGCCCAATCAATGCTAAATGCTTTGCAAATTTACAACAAATTGCACCTTATACACTTCCTATTGCTTGAATCCATCTGCAATTTGCCATCAAATATACACAACACGAAATACTTCAATAATAAATATCTTGATATGCAAACACATATTCTCTGTAATTGATATCGATTTCTGTAACCGATAACATGATATATGACGATAAATAATTAAAAAACCTTTATTTCTATTCATTGAATATCTGGATTATTGTTATATAGCTTGAATTAATTGAAAAGGTGATTTGAATCGATAAAGATATTTTGGGACTATGGCTGTCGATAATTGTTATCGATCAATGGAACCGATAACTTGTATACAGCTTAAAATAACTAAAGAATTAATTTAATTATACAATACTGTGGCTATCGACAAATGTCATCGATAACTAAAATAGATGGCTTGTTATAAAACTTTTAATGATAAAATATGTGATTATCGATAACTTGTTTAATAGCTTGAAATATATGAATCACTATATATTATTTCATATGATATTCAAAACTTGTTAAAATTGCGGTTAACGACTATTGTTATCGATAGGCAACGTTCAACTTATTCATATTTACCACATCATGATATGTAATAAAGGAAAATTGAATACTCGCTTCTCGCAATATACATTTGTAGTTAGAGTATTTAAGTTTCGGCATGTATTCACATTTACTACCACTGTCTTTGTTGATTTATTGAGCATTTCTTGTAACTGACTCTGCGAGGCAAATCAATGAACTGCCGTCTCCTGGGATTGCGTGATTATGAATATCCACTTAGCATTTGATTAGCAAACGAATGCGTGGAAGTGGAACCAATGGCACGTGCATTGAACGTTAGAATTATAATATTGATAGAAGAAGGAAGCAATCGAATTTAATGATACAGATTAAAAGGAGTAATTCCATCATAGTTCGTGATTTCCTTAAATTCACGAAGCCTTGCCTTGAGCGAATACCAGTAATGGACATGATAACACCTTTAGTCTTCCTGTAACACTCAGCTCTGAAGCATATATATAATTGAATTCTTTAAAATTTATATCGAAATAAATAGAAAAAATGTTTTCAAAAAAGAAATAGTAAAAATAAATTCTTTCCAATTTAACTTACGATGATTACTGTTCTTTCTTGTACTTATAAATTTTTGACTCTGTTCTTGACTTGTCTATAGCGAAAGCTAAAAGAAAAGAATCCAAAAGTACGAATTTATAGGCAACAGAAATCTAAATAAATATTTTGCTTAATATGTTTGTGTAAATGTATGTAACAGGCTGAAAGAAGCATCTCCGACCTCATAAAGTATATATATTCAAGAATATATATATATATACTGATCAAGATCAGCATCAACAGCCGAGTCGATCTAGTCATGTCCGTCTGTCTGTCCGTTTGTTTGTCTGTCTGTCCGTATATATAAACGCAAGAATCTTAGAACCTATAAGAGCTAGAGACTTGAAATTTTAGCTGTAGATCCTCCTAGTCCATGCGCAGATCGAGTTTCCGATAGTCGATAGATAACTCCGTTTCCAAGCAATCTATAAATAAAAAAAATAATAAGAGCTAGAGTCACCTCATTTATATGTTCCTTCTAGAATAGTATATACACATCAAGTATCTTTCATTTTATACCTATCGCCACCTACCCGCTACCACATCATAGCTATAAATCAAGTTAATAACCCAACATCTATTGCCCACCAATTTGAGCTACAATTATTAAGAGAATTTTGAGAATGAACAAATATTCTACGGTCCAATAAGGTATATTGTACAAAATTTCATTAAGATCGGTAGAAACACGCGTTTGCAGCAGCTAGCGCAAATTCCAAAAATTTCTGTATACATTATCACACACACATTCCTGCCCATTCGCTTCGAATTTTATCAACAACATTGCATTTGCAATTGTATATTTTTGTGTACTGTTATTTTATTTCGTTTTCATTATAACTTTTTTATTGGTGTGGCTGTTTAGTATAGGCGATGGCAAGTGGTCTGGTCTTTGGTGTTGGAATAAGAGAGTTCAGGGTATTCCCTAGTCGACTAGAACATCTTACTTGTTGTATTTTGTTCCGTTCAATTTCCGAGTGCTGCCTGAAACTGTGAATCATCTCTTATCAAATCAGCACATTTAGGCTAACCACCGAAATCCCCCCAAAAAAGTGAGGGAAAAGTGTTTAATGGAAAAGCCGCGCTCGAACCGCAAAAGTCCACAGCAGCTGTGGATGATGCCTCGAGGCTGCAGCCAGTCGTACGTGGGGAGCGACTGTCAAATTAAATTAATAAACACAACAATTGGCACAGGCCAGAACAGAGCAGAACAGAGCAGAGCAGAGCAGGTCCTGCACAACAGGCACCAACTGTCCACTCACACGAGGCTGACAATGGGAACCAGAGCGGGGAGCACGGGGCACGGGGCATGGTGCACAGTGTACCGCATTGGTGATGCCAATCGCAAATGAAATTTTTACTCAAATTGAGTTTGGGGCAAGTACTCAACTTCTGGCATGCCCTGGGCTCGAGGCAGCGTACATGTCGTGCCGGGGTAAGGGCGCGAATGGGAGCTGACGGCACTGAGTCTCGTCCATGGCATTTTGTATTAATTACAACATAGCCGGCGGTGCGAACGCTCAAAAAGTTTCAACATAATTGATTTCATTTTTATTTTTGGTGGATTGCGGGCGTTGTGAATTGTGTGATGAGTGCCGCGGAAAAGGGCCATGGGACGAGCTCAGAGGAAAAGGAAGCGTCGAAAAGTGTGCGGCGTCTGCAGCGCGGGCATTAAATTGATTTAATTATTGGCCAGCCAAAAGATGCGTCCATCAACTTGCTGCGTTAATTTTATTTTTTTTTTTAACTACTTAAATACCCAAGAAAAAGGCAAGTGGATTATTCTACGGTGCGGCATTCCATATACTTGGAAATGTTGTGCAAAGTATGCACAAATAAAATATTTATTTAAAGAAAAAAAAGCGAAAGCAAAAAACCTACAAATATATACAAAATAGTTTAATATATTCGAAAGAACTGTTGCTTACAGACGTGTAATATAATAAAAAGCAATAAAATGACAAACAACAAATAAAAGTTTATTTTTATGACAACTCAATTTAAATTCCACAAATTAAATAAATGGGTTTAGTTTTGGCACAAAACCCGAGTTAATATTTGCAAAACAAACTAATTTGTAAGTAAATACAGTAACCATGGAGGTGAATAAAAGCAAGTTGAATAAATAAGTGTACATACATATTTCATATGACATATGTAAATAAAACTTACATATGAATGCTCCAAAAATGTATTCTAAATTTCGTTAATAACGTAATCCAGGCAAGAGTCGTCCATTCATAGTTATTGTAAAGCAAAACCAAATCGAATTTTAAATGAGAGTGTAGAGTAAGCATATGTGAATATGCACTTTGCGCTGCCGGTGTAGGGTATAACAAATGACAATGGTTTTTAAAATTTTTTTTTTACGCAAATCCTGCTATCATTGTCCTGAGGCAGTGCGTCTGGTTGGGTATTCCTTTTTGCATATTTCCAGATTGAGTTACGGCTGCTGTCGCTGGCCGTTCCTGTTAACGTTGCCTTTGCCTTTGCCGCTGCCAGAGTCCTTGCTGACGCTTCACCGTGACGGCATTTGTCTGGGCAGTGGCGCAGGACTTTGTTGCAGCGTGGCACAAGCTGGATTTGTTATTGAAAAATCGAATATTGCGTACATATTTTAATAATGGTCGAAGTGATTGGTTATTAAGTCCCATTTGGACTTCAATTTAATTAAAATCCCCAGCCGGTGTGCAAATAGTTCCGAGGTATTTCCGAGGTATGTCTCTATAGTCTTGACTTTTCTGTCAAAAAAAAAAAAAAAAATACGTAAATAAAAAACGCCTATAGAGCTCGAATTTTAAAACACAAGAAATAATCTTCCTGGATGAAATTGAGCTGAGTTTCGAGAGCAGGTCTCATAGCTTGTAAGTTTTATACTCGCAACTTTAATAACTAATTTCTCTTTCAGCTAAAATGGTTAACGAATTAAGTTTAAATCAGCAGCTGGCACAGGCTGTTAGCTCATTTGCTACTTTAAACACATTTGGTAAGTTTGAAATTTATTTATTTTATTTAGTTTTTATAAAAATACATCTGCAGCCTTATGGCCAAGTGCGAATGGGTTATATGCTTGGCAGCATATGGCCTTTGGGCCTACAACCAAGCCTTTGTATAGTGTCAAAACTGATATTTCAGTTTGTAATCGAATTGTTGAGTTGAAATACAGTAAAATGGTGCCCTTGTCTATATTGGATTTTCATATGACCGATGCAGATTTATTGGCTCTGGAATTGGAAAAGATTGCATTGGCCTAACGAGCTGCGAATTATAAGAAGCGGTTTGAGTCATGCAAGCAATACAATCGAATGTATCTAAATATAAAACGAATAAAACTAATTTATAATATTTGTAAATTTTTATCATAACAAGAAAGCAAACATATTAACATACATTTTGGAATTCCTTTTATGTTCAAACTAAAGGAAAGAATACAGTAAATATTCTTAATGGAAATAATTTTGTTTTAAAGTTCCACAAATTTTAATTTGTCCGTCCGATTTTTGACACTCGTATTTTTAAGCGTATGCACAAAAATGAAAGCACAAAGTGAGGCAAATTCTTGAATTGAATAAATAAACTTGAAAATAGCTGCACACATGGCCCAGGTTCTGTTTGCTGGACTTAAACTATCATTGTTTGGCCAGACACTTGGGAGCATTTGCTTGCTCTTACCCGGGCACATAACGAGCGTCAACGAAGGATAACAAAGGCAATGGCAAGGACATGCACGGACAGAACGAAATTTTAATGACATGTATTATGAACTATGTGCATACAAACTATGAAATCGTATAAGTATGTATTGCATTTGTCTGTGTGTGTATTGCAGTTGGCATTAAGTGGAAAAGGATATGGCGAAAGGATACACATAGGTACACATACACGCTCACATATATATATATTGTATGTTGGGGTTTGCGTAAATTTTATGTATTTGGCTCACGAATCGAGTCCGTCTGTTGGCCAAAGACGTTCGTTGCGGCGTAAAATTCAACAACGGCTTTCATGCAGGGCCTGTAAATTATGTTGCCCACAGGATATGCGCCAGACACACATGCACACACACACACAAGCACACACACACACACACACACTCGCACACGGCATCAACAAGAAACTCAACTAAAATGATGTACTTAATTTTGGATTTTTCTATTTAATAAACTGCAATACGAATGCAAATGCTTGCTACGAAAAAGCGGCGAGCTCTGAGAGTTACGAAAACCTCGCAATATCCTTGTCCAGGCTGCACCGCAGGACGTCTAGACGTTGACGTTGCGTCCTCGACAGCGATAAGCATACGCCATGGCGCGGCATTATTATAATACGTGGCCATTATCCTGGCAACGCCGGCGATAAATCACACCAGGACATCTTTGTGTGTGTGCCACGGGCAGACATAGTCAGAGCCATCCCAACCCAACCCATCCCCACTGCAGCTCCGTTCGCTGCAGAAACTGGAGCAGTTGGTGCAGAAGCAGACGGTTTCTGGCCATATCTGAGTCGCTGCATCGCGCACACGCTCATAAAATGTTGCGCCCGGCACCCCCAGACGACAAATTTGCTTAGAATTTGAAATGCATGGCACAGACAATAGCACCATAGGATGGGGTGGTTGGAAAGGAAATGGCCAGAAAATAGTTGGTAAAAGAAAAGTGGAAGCTGCCCGCTTGCATTTATGCAAAAGTGAACCCCAGTTGCAAGTTTTGGGGCCGCTCTCAAGCGGACATTATTATTACAGTTGCCAAGTTCAAGTTCAGGATGTCCATTGTGAACGTGCTTGAAATGGAAACCCTTCGTATAAAATGAAGCCGAATTGAAACAGTAAAGATTGTAATAAGGCTTTCATTTTAGAAGCTATGTGTTATTATTATTATTAATATTATTATTATTGTTATTATTATTATTATTATTAATATTATTATTATTATTATTGTTATTATTATTATTATTGTTATTATTATTATTATTATTATTATTATTATTATTATTATTATTATTATTATTATTATTATTATTATTATTATTATTATTATTATTATTATTATTATTATTATTATTGTTATTATTATTATTATTATTATTATTATTATTATTATTATTATTATTAATATTATTAATATTTTATGATTATTATTAATATTATTATTATTATTATTATGGCTATTATTGTTACTATTATTATTATTATCAAACAATGTTGAAGCTCTTAATCTCTGGACAAAACGCATTGAGCGCAACAAACTTTTCATTTCTTCTCTGTGTCACATTCTCTATTCGTAAACGTTTCATTGAAAACACTTATTTTATTCAACGTGTTTTCCATCCATATATAAATCACCTACTGCTTGCATTAAATTTAAGGTGTTTTCGTAATCGTTTCACTGGCTGCATTCATTTTTTCTAGCGTTTTTCAAACGTTTTCTTTTACTCAGTTGCTCTGAGGGAAATTTAAAATGAAAGATAATATGATCATTATTACATAGCACCTATTTTGTCACATTGCCAATTTTTAAGTGCAGTTTCCATGTGGAATACTTGTCGGGTAACTCAACCCCCACTCAGCAGCTGCCATTGGTGCCTCCTTGTGCCGAACCAATGGCAGCCTGGACTGATCCGTGGACACGGACACGGACACGGATACGGCATTGGACTCATGTGCAGCGCCATTTTATGGCATTTTCGCTGCCTTCTGTCTGGCGTCTGCTGATGTTGGCCTTCAGACGCTCATAAACAAACTCAACACAAGTCGCACAATACCAGACAGGAGAGAGCAGCGAATGGGGTGGAGTGCGGCTGAGTAGGGAGCCTGGTCTAATGTGCTGGGCGTGGCTTTGCATTTATTCGTGTGTAAAATTTTAATTGAAATATATATTTAAGCCTGTCTGCCAGACAGAATGTCAGCCGTGCATTTCTGTAAATGTATCTGCAACTGTGTCCCTCTATCTGCACATGTATTTGTATCTGTATCTGCAGCCACTCGCAGTTGTGGATGCGCGTGTCCCGCTAATGTTTTCATTTGCATGCGAACAGCAGCCCCGGCACCATGTCCATATGCAAATGGGTCCTATGATTATCGGCGAGTGCCCCTTGTTTCTGAACCTCTGCCCTTGTCCTCTTTTTTGTGCCCTATGCCTGTTTGTTTTGTATGCGCTGATTTTGTTTTTCCATTCCATCCGTGGGCGTGTCGGACAGCTGGCAAGGGGCATCAGTGTTGAAAAGTGGCTTTAAGTCTATTTGGTATCATTCCGAACTGTCGGAGCATTCCGCTCCTTTTATTCCCTTCGACTGGGCAGCTCCTACCCAACACTAAAGAGTTGTTGGTTTAATTTTGTAAGAACTTTGTAACTGACAAACACTGTGCAAATTAAAAGATTAATTTAAAAGTAGGTTTTTTGCCCGAAGCCTCGATTGCAAATAGTGTATATAAAGTGTATATAAAGATTTCACCAAGGAGGATTTTCCGCAAAATTGTAAAACACATTCCCAAATGCATTAAAACAGGTTTTCGAAAAAGAGTTAGAAGTAGAGCAAAAAAGTTTTGATGCAACCTCTTTCGCCAATTTTCCCCGACTTTGGATTGAATTTCCCAATTTCTTATCAACAATTCTCTCAACCTATAAGAAAACTACAGAATATTCAGTTCAGACTGTTTGATTATCACTCAGTCAGTCAGAACAAAAAGGTTTATATATAAAGACGAATTGTAATGAAACGTTGTATAACTAAAACATAGATAGCTATAGATGGATGGAGCAAATTGAGTATCTGAAGAAAAGTTTTTTTTTTTAAAGTGCACTTAATAATATTTGAAATACATCTCGATCAAGTCCAATCATTATTATAATTAATGTTCTGCTCATTAACAGCCTAGTTGCTGATATTGTAGCTACAAAAAGAAGAAAACCCTATTTGAACTGGCTAACGAAACGAACCGTAACCCCCAACCCAGTATCATTCGCGATGCAACCCCTGATGTAGAACCCCCTGTTGTTAGACAGGATTCACTTAACGCTTCGTGTGGCATAAAATTTCCTTACAAAAATTGTATTTTAAAATTAATGAAGAGCTCGTTGTGCTTCGGGAAAGGGGGGTGTTAAGGTGTTAGGCATTAAAAAAAATAAATAAAATAGAGCAGAGGAAAATAGAAAATGCCACTTGGCCACTTTGGACGATAGCCGGCCAAGCTGTTGGCCCAGACCAGGCCCGGGGCTTTCACAATGAATGTCATTTGGATTTGCGTTGGATAAGTTTCTAATTTATTGTGCATAAAACAAGGTGTGCAATGTGTGTATATATATATATATATATATATATATTTCTATGTATATAACTTGTGCTTATCGCGCGCGTTCACATCGCCACGTGCCGCTTCTCACGCGGTGTCTTTGAATTGGTCTTCCGTAATGGGGAAAAATGGAATGGAGTGTAGAGTTGGGCCGAATTCGTTGAGGCATGACCTTAGCTCAGCCTGAGCTGACCTGGTTCAGTGCCCGCGTATAGCACCAGCAGCTCTGGCGTCATGGGCGCATTTAGTGTAATCCAGGTCTTGGGCAGACCGGCATCATCACGCGCAGATTGAAGCGCCTGCTGCAGGGCAAAGGCCACGGATATGCCCAGACAAATGGCGGGCTCACCAGTCGCTATTGACAGAGGGACAAACAATAATAAATGTTGGTTTGATCTTACAGTGAAACTATAAGAAACAGGACACTCCAACTAACCTTTTGAGCGCATAAAGCCCGCCTTGTTGGGACTCTTGGGCAGCAGCTCGATGCGTAGATCGACGGGTATATCCTTGGCACCCGGCGGCTTATAGTTCCAGGTGCGATTTGTCAGGCATTCGCCCGTCTTCTTGTCGACGACAACCTGCTCGCTAGTCCAGTAGCCGAGGCCCATCATAAAGGCGCCTTCAATCTGGCCAATATCCACATTGGGGTTTAGACTCTCGCCGGTATCCTCCAGTAGATCCACACGTTTCACCAGGTAGTTACCCGTTAGCACGTCCAGCTCCACCTCGGTAAGGCCCAGGCCACACACCGAGTACGGCTCCATATCACCCTGTTTGCACTGATCGCTCGCAATTAAGTTGATCTTTCGATTATATGCCTCATTGATCAGCTGTTGCCAGTCTGCCGGCTTCAGCTCCTCCTTGACCGGTGCCAGACGCGAGTTGAGCGTCTCGCAAGCCTTACGCACGGCAAAGCATAACGTCTCGCTGCCCACAGCTCCGCCAGTGACCATCGAGTTGGCACCATTGATCGTGTCGCTGGCCTCAATGCGCACCTGCTCCAGAGCAATGCCCAGCGTATGGGCCACAACTTGTGCGATCTTTGTGTTCATACCTAGAAGGATCATGTAAAAGCATTTAAAACTATTGCAAAGGTAG